TACACGTTTAAAACATGTTCCCGTCATCCCTTCGTGGGACATAGGGCTTCTAAGAGATGTTTCCATCTGATCCTATTCTGAGCTGTCTGTTTGATCTCTCCCCATGTTTTCCCGACCTCTTGGGCTTCAGAGGTTACTGTTCTTCTCCAGGTATTCCTTGGTCTTCCCCTGGCACGTCTTCCCTGTGGATTCCATTCAAGTGCCTGTCTAGCGATATCTCTGTGGGGTCTGCGCAAATGTGCCCAATCCAGCCCCACTTTCTTTCTTAATTTCGATATCTATTCGATTTTGTGATGTTCTTCTCCACAGTTCTTCGTTGTTAATTTGATTGGGCCAGAAAATTCTCAATGAAGACACTTGTTAACAAACACCTGTAGGAGATCCATGAGACCACGCGTAACCTTCCATGTTTCGCATCCATAAAGCAAAATAGATTTGACATTGCTATTGAAGAGCTGGACTTTAGTTTTTTTGCTATATATAGAGGAGTTCCACACAGGTGTAAGCATGCCAAAAGCTCTTTGTGCCTTCAAAATCCTTTCCTCTATATCTTTCTCTGTGCCCCCATCGCTGTGAACCATACTTCCCAGGTACTGAAATTCATCAACTCTTTCGATGGCTCGGTTGGAGAGGTATAGATCTTGGTTGTTGGGAGTATTTGACCTCATTTCTTTGGTTTTCGCCACGTTGATTTGAAGACCGACATTATTAGCTTCCTCTTGGAGTCTAAGAAGTTTTTGAGACATATCCGAATGTGAATGGGAAAAGATGCATAGATCGTCTGCGTAATCCAGGTCTTCTAGCCTGCTTAAGAGTCCCCATTGTATCCCTAGTGGTTCTTTAAATGCTCTATTTAGTGCTACATCCAGAACGATGTTAAAGAGTAGCGGCGAAAGTATACAGCCCAAAATTGTATATGCATTACTCAAAAATAAACGATACATTAGTTAACGTTTTAATAAATATTTTTTATCGTATAGGTACAAACTAATTTCTGATGCTACGCCATTGGAGAATTTCGCGTGGTGACAAGTGGCCTCACTTTCAGCTGCCGTGTTACCTGTCCCCTCTCTTTCCTTGTCTAAGATATGACATGAATTAGGATTGATTGACGTGTATTCAATTGTTTTTGGTCACTTCCTGTTTCACCGGAAATAACTACAAATTTCTATTTTATTCGATAGAAAATGACACTCTGAATAGAATGACATATAATATGTCAACTTTTGACATTTTCGCATATGGTTTATTTGAAATTGTAACATGCAGTTCATAACGACAACTTGACTCGAAATACCAAGTGTGTGGTACTAAATTATTCCTAGAAAATGCTTTTTCCAAATATGATAATGAGCCACCCTTGTTCCATTTGAAAAAATTGAGATATGATTAAAAATACGATTTTGCATCTTTTAATGGGCCAGGACAATATACGAAAAACATTAGACCATACCAACAGGTATGGTAGGCTATTAAGATCGACAAAAAAAAGTTTTTTTTTTAATTTCACTCAAAATGATATATCATAAATGACCTAAATAAAAAATATTTTCATGGTGTCTGTCTGTCTGTCCGTCTGTTCGTCTGTCTGTAACACGATAACTCAAAAACCGTTAAACCGATTTTAACCAAATTTGTCACAAAAATACTGTGGCACCCTTTGAATAAGAAGACTAAGGAAGGAGCATAATGATATCCATGTATTCATGCATGGTGGGCGGAAAAGCCACCATAAAAGCTCTCTAGGGTGAGGATCCTTGACAGTTCTGTTTGACGATTCATTTGTCACATTTGAATTTGATTTGCAATTTTGTGGATTTGTCAGTCTTTACGGAGCTTATTTTATGTTATTTATTATTTATTCTACTACTGATAGTTGTATAAAGGTAGTAAATCTAGATGGAAATTGTGGCAGAACTTAAATTAACAGTGACACTATCGCGATTTATCGAAAAAGATTCTAAAATAGTTGGTTGTGTAGCGTGCGGTAGATCTCGGCAAAAATTGAGTGAAATAATGGAACAACTTTTCGCTAGTAAGTGACTATATAATATACATACGTGTAGTAAACCGATCATTTATGAAATTCACTTAAATTAACTAAATTATATATTTTTCTTGCATTTTAGCTTTTATTTATTACTTGTTAAAGATTAGATGTCAAAGAATTTAGATACGTTAATTTGACTTACCTGCTTCAGTAGCGTATCGGATGTTTGTGTTAATAAATACTTATTATAACTTATCTATTTTTATTAGAATTATATATTTTTATAACAATTTTTAATAACTACCAACATTTATTCACAACGTAAAATAAAACAACAAATTATTGAGTCTACCTCACGTCTACCCTACATCATAGTTTTACATTTTTTAAATAAAATTAGAACGACACTGATAAACCGGAATTAAAGTCGGCCATATTTGAGGCCCATCGCGGTGTACCTAAGATTTTTGATATGCTCCTTCCTTAGTCTTCTTATTCAAAGGTGGCACCCAAGAATCAGGCCATTAATTTTTGGTGGGGGTGGGTGGTTGGTAAGGGGGTATGGGAGGGGGTTAAAAATTTTAAAAAATCGTAACTCCAAAATTACAGTAGCTAGCGAAACGCGGTTTTCAATTTAAGATTAGGAATAATATTTACAACAAAATTTGTAATAACATCAAAATCAGTCCGTAAAAAAAATTGGAAAAATTCCTTTACTTTGAAACTAAAAGAACTGCCTACCAACTTTTTTTTAACATATTTTGGTATGGACGGCTATACGTGCCTCCCGGCGCCTATTTTTTGATATACATATTGCGAAAATACTGATTAATATTTCTATTTTGAAACTTTACTTGTCTATTTCTATGCAAAATTATTGTTGTTGTTGGCTATTTATATCCTATTTCTAATTTTCCCTTCGGTTAATGCTAGATTCGATTGGTTCGCGATAAAACCGACTATGGCTGGTCATTATAAATCAAAATTACACCTCAGGATACGTGCGTGCGCCAATTAAACGGCCAATAAATATAAAATTTGAATCGGTTTAGCACAATAGTGGACCGCACTAAATCCCCCTTTTATTTGTTCTAGGCCGGTTTTAGGTCAAACCCTAATCCCACAATTAAACATATCGATCAAAATAACACGTATATACACAGGGTGATCCACTGTTTAAAAAAAAACTGCAGATAAAATATTATTTTTTAAGCGATCAACTTTGAGTGACAAGCGATGGCGACAGCGCTGCCAGATTGTGATGGATTTATGAGATGAATTTTAATTTAAAATTGACAAACAATATACTTTTATTATATCATTTTTTAAAGGTTTTTACGATTTATTTTTAATTTAATAATTAATATTTTAGTAATTAATTGATTTATTTGTTTTTTAAAAGCTTATTTTACTTAATACATATTGGCAAAAACTAGTCCATTATGAGGATTATTCTAAGCGTTATTATGAGTTATTTATTTATATATTGATGAACAGGGTGTCCCACTAAGAATAGCTCTCGGCTGTATCTCGGAAAGTATTAGTTACGACTAAAAACTAAAGCGGGAAAAATATTTATAACATAAATAAACATATACTGCATGTATGGTTTTTATTTATATTTATTTATTTTTTTTTTTATTTTTTTTTTTTTTATATTTTTTTATTTTTTATTTTTTTTTTTTTTATTTTTTTTTGAGCTTGCGGATAAAATATTTATAACTAAAGAGAGTATGAGAAATTGCTGGAAATTGTTTTCAAGTTTGTAGAGCGGCCGTTAAAGGGCGCCACTGCTATTAAAAATAAGAAAAAGGAGTTTTTACACAATTTTGCCTAGATAACGGATACTATAAATAATAGATTCATAATCTTCAGTAAATTTTGCATATGTTTTGTTAGAACCATTTTTCCCTATCTGCCAAAATAAAGTGGTGGGGGAAGGTTAGATCTGTTTTTATTTAAACATTAATAACTCCGGACTGGATTAACGGAATCTAACAAACGGGTGCTCGTTTAAAAGAGCGTTTCTTACTCTATATTATAGCGTATAAACAATAATAATAAGCTGTTGAATGTAGACGCTAGGAGGCGCTGTCTTACAATTTAACAAATATTGCGCGTTTTTTCAAAAAAATTAAATACGATATTATATATAATTTTAGCTGATAGTAAAGAGTAATAAACGTTTAAAAAGTCAGCGAAAACCGCATCTTGATATCCTCTTTCAAACCGAAGATATTAGCAAAATTATAATAAATACGGTTACTCGGTTACAGTAGCCCTCTTGATTATGACCATTCTAATAAAAAAATAAGATAGAAACGATTAGTTTATTCTAAAATCGACAATATACCAGAATACGATAATACCAGATGTATTAATATCTAATAATTAAGATATCAATGACAGTGAATAAGAAACAACGCCTCGGTGAAGTCATGGTAGGCTTAGGAAAAAAGATGCTAACAAATCTCGTTTTTTTTGTCTGAAAAAATAAAAAAATGAGTCACTTTTCATAAACACCCGGTATATTATTTTGAAATATTCCTTTCTGGTATATTTTTTCTATTTCATCTCATTTTCTTGTTTCTACAGGATGTTATTTTCATATTACATTACAAATTCAACCTGCATTTTCTTCTGAAAACATGGAAAAACAAACAAAAATAGCTACGTCGAAAGATACGTTCAAAAGCAGCCATTTTGGTTATTTTTAAACAAAATATTAATCTAGCAAGCGAAATAACTGTCAGGAAATTTAGAAAAATAACTCATTTTTCTGTTTTGTTTAAAATAATGAACTTGGTACGTGCAAAAATATCAAAAAAATTCCATCAAAAAATGATGAATTGGTATGGATTAAAATAGATAGTGATATTATATGAATTTTTAATAATCTTATATAGGGTATAAAAAAATAAATGCGGAATAATTTACCAGATACTTTGAATTCTTCGTACTTATTTTTGAAACTTGTATATTTAAAAGGTTTTTTTCTATTTTTTTAAAGGTATGAACCAGGAAGACATAACCAAAAAACCTGCAGGTATAACAAGAATACAGGCTACGTTATTTTTTCTGCTATGGGATCCTTTTTTATACCAATGGTAGTGATGTTGTACGTCTACGTCAGAATATCTTGCGTGATAGCCCAGAGGCATGACCAGCTAAGTCACATTGACACTTCCTATCCAAAGGTATGTCCTTTAACTTTTATCATCAATTGAAGACAGAACAAACGACGTCGTGGTAACCATTTCTTTTGTTCTAGATGGGTAAGCAAAATGTGCTTACCGCCGAAGAATCAGACGTCGACAGGGCTTCGTCCGAGACTGAAGATGGGAACCCCAGGTGCGCAAGGTACTATCGCCAACTGCATGTATGGTTAGTTTTTTTCTTTTTTCCTTTTCTGTATTTTTAGTTTTAAGTTTGCATGCTTATCTACAGCGACGTATTTCTATAGTAGAGTACTTAGTATAGCGAAAGTTGTTCAGTTATCTGATGAATTACCAAATATAAGTCGTTTATGTCTTCATATGTGGATGGAACATGCCATCTAAAATAGTACTATCCTCAGAACTATTTAGTTTGTAACTTTTCAACAACTATTTTTTGAAAAAAATAACTGTTTCAAACAATAACTATGAGTCTACAAGACTTTATTTTTGCATTTAGTCACATTATATCATAAAACCTCCAATTCATTTGAATTTGACCATCAAAAAGAGTTGAAAACGTCGTGTTAATTTTCCAGCAGTCACAATTTGGAAATGCTGAACAACCTTCATAGAAACAATTCTGCGGGCACACCTCAAAAATCACCAAACTCTGCCAGATTGTTGAGGCCAAACATGAGCTTCTCCTTCCAGAACCACGAGCCTTTAACCCCAATCAAAACCTCTAATAGTTTCTTCAGGTAAAATCATATGATATACAATTTTTATTAACCTGACTTTGTTTCTAGTTCTATATTTTCTCTAGATATTCGTGACTTTTCAGTAAGAAATGGTTTTGTAATTTCTCTTTTAATGTCTATTCAGATCTTCTCTGCCACCGCGCACTCGGCCAGAACCTCACATCCATATGGACGCGTCCATTTTGAACTACGAACCTGCATCCAGAGTCTCATCGTTCAGAAGAGAAACCAAGACTGCACAAACCCTCAGTATAGTTATGGGTCAGTATTAGTAATGAGCAAGACAGTTGTCAGAGCGTCAAGTTGGCTTGGAAATGAACATCGATGACAGATAAAATGAGAGCGATCTTCAGTTCATAGCCATCGCTGACGCCGTTTTTTCGATCATAATGTAGTTATACCTAGTGGGTCTCAAAAGTGCTGGCTCACCACCTATAACTTTTTTATTTTTTCATATAAAAAAACGAGATTTATTAGATTAGTATATGACAAAAATTAGGATTGATTGACGTATTCAATTATTTTTTGAGTCTTGACAATTTCTCATATGGTTTATTTCAAATCATAACGACAATTTGACTCGAAATAACAATTGTGTGGTACCAAATTATTCGTAAAAAAATGATTTTTCCAAATATGCTAATGAGCCACCCTCGTTTCGTTTGAAAAAATTGAGATATGATTAAAAATACGATTTGGGCATCTTTTAACCAGCCAGTACAAGACACGAAAAATACTAGATCATCAAGTCTATTTTTCCAAGTCTCCTCAATTAAAAAATAATGTTTTTAACACAGCCATGGCACTCTAGATTGAAATTTAAAATACAATTTTTTTGAAAGCGAAAATGTCAAAAATTGTTATGTGATATGTCATTCTATTCAGAGTGACATTTTCAATCGAATAATGTAAAAAAATACCGAGGGTGTCATTTAAAAATCGAAAGTGGTAGTCATTTCCGGTGAAACAGGAAGTGACCAAAAACAATTGAATACGTCAATCAATCCTAATTTATGTCATCTACTAACATAACAAGTCTCGATGTTTTTATCTTAAAAAGTAAAAAAGGTATAGAGGTGAGCCACTTTTGAGACGCACCCGGTATAAAGATTTTCTATGAAGAAAGTTCTTCTATTAAAAATCTATCAAAAAAGTGCAAGACTTCTTGAAAGAAGATCTGATCTAGGTCTAGCATTTGTTCGTCACTAGTCAGTATATTTTTTCCACAAAAAATGTACTAAAAATACTTAATTTTTCTTTTCCTTTTAGGTGGTTTTATCCTATGCTGGCTGCCCTTTTTCATCTTCTACCTCTCCACGCCCTTCATCCAGCAGAACGACGTCAACCAGTTGATCATGCAGTACTGCACGTGGCTGGGCTGGATCAACTCAGCAATCAACCCTTTCATCTACGCCTTCTACAGCCCTGATTTCCGAATAGCTTTTTGGAGACTGACTTTCAAACACTTCAAGAGGAACTCTCACAGCAAGGACTTCATTGCCTCTCAGCAAAAAAGGGCTGAGGTTGGGAATCTGATGGCCAAATGACAGGAGGACGAAGTTTGAACAAGTTTTTAGTATGGAAGAACATTTTAGGGAGGTTTCAGGATTTTTTTTTGGAGTGAGATATCGTGAAAAAAAATTAGATATGGAGAAATTTGACTCTACAATATTCATAGCGAATAGCAAGACTTATATTCTTACTATTTCTTTTTAAGTAACTACATATTCCTAGTTTTTTACATTTCATTGACAGTGAGACAAAATAAAAAGACCATACGATCGAAAAAAAACGACGTCAAAGACAGCTGGAGAATAACAATCGATGATAATTTTAGCGAGGTCAAGCCCTACTTTTCCCGTACACCTCCCTATTTTTTAATGACACTTACTTACTGCCAGTTAGCCTTAAGAATAATGTAATTTATTTTTATATTGTGTAAAATTTATTTTTTATTCAATATACGTTCTATCCTTTTTAATTTTTTTATAACAATTAGAGTTAATTCTTGACAAGTTTCGTTCTCAACTGACGTATAGAGACTGACCTCGTCAAAATTATCATCGATTTTCATTCCCCAGCCGTCTTTGACGCCGCTTTTTTTTCGATCATACGGTACCTAGACAGTGACTAGATTTGTTCTGTGGTAGATGTATGTTATTTAATATTGAAAGAAATTATTTTTTTGACGCTTAAATATATACAGGGTGGTTCGAATTGTATTCCGGAAACTTCGACAGCATATTCGGCAGATAAAAGTAAGTAAAATAGTTCGTATGTCCTAAAATGCTTAGTTTTGGAAATACAGAGTGCAGAAATTTCATTTTTATTTCGATTTTTTCCAAATAATTTCTGAAGTAACGTCAATATTTGGATGAAAATGGGTGTCTGGGGGTTTTTTGATGAGAAATTTGATTTTGATGTCAATATGACACCTACTGGTAGAGGGCGCCACCTACATGTGTTTTAACTGTTTTGAAGCGTAATAACTTTTTGTCCGTACCTGTCTAAAACTACCGAAGGGAAAAATATACATCTCTGTGATTTTTTACGTAAAAAATATATCTTTGTAAAAATCGCTACGAGCAACCGTTCTCAAGATATTTATGTCAATCATTTTTTAAAATCAGAGACATTTTTTACGTAAAAAACGTCGAAAATGTATATTTTTTACTCAGTAGTTTTATACAGGTAAGGACGAAAAGTTATTACTCTTCAAACCAGTCAAAAAATATATAGGTGGCGCCCTCTACTAGTAGGAGTCATATTGACGTCAAAATCAAATTTCCCATGTCCAAAAACTTCCAGACACTAATTTTCATCCAAATATTGATGTTACTTCATAAATTATTTGGAAAAAATCAAAATAAAAATGAAACTTCTACACCCTGTATATCCGAAACTAAGCATTTTAGGACATACATTTATACGAACTTTTTTACTTAATTTTATCTGCAGAATATGCTGCTGAAGTTTCCGGAATACAATTCGGACCACCCTGTATATGTAATATAAGATAAGATCGTCCAAATGTACAAATAAATGGGGAAATCATCGCTAAAATAGAAAAATAATAAAAACACTCAGAAAAATAAGTATACGTAGGGGGGTTTAAAACCCCCCTTCTTATTTTCCTTCTTGAAATATTGTCAGATTTTAGAAAATTACACAAACTTTATACAGAAGAGATTTGGTATATAATTAAAAAAAATATATGATGTCCCTCTATTTTTACTTATTTTTCTGGGATATAACACGTACAACTGATTCTTTATAGCAAAAATGTCTAAATGTCACATAAAAAATCTGCCTAAGTATCGCCAGATGCATGGTGTGAGTATACAGAGTGATCAAATAAAAAAAGGGGTGTCGGAAAAAAATTGTTATGATTTTACTATACCTTGGTTTATTTATTTTTATTTCATACATTTTTTGACTTATACATATGGTACACATACAGAGGGATACATATATAGTACTCTGAAAAAACTCAATTTCAATCATTTCATCGTTTTCATCTAAATTTTCATAGATATACAAATATACATGATGTTCCATTTCAAACAGTAGTAGAAAGTATACAGTATACAGACCTACCCTGTATATACCACGCAATAGAGCGTGTATTATTGATATTTCTAAAGATATATATTTCAGAGAGATATACAGTAAAGCTTGAACTAAAATCATATTTCTGCGGCTACCATGACGTCTTTTTTATTTAATCACACTGTATATATTATCTAAATGTTTTATGCAGATCTTAAGGTGAAATACTGCTGTATTTATAAAAATGCAACTATTTTAAGCTAAAAATAATTAAAAACCAAAGTTCAAATGTGTTTATTAGGTATATAAATATCAAATTATGTGTATATAATGATTGTGTGTCCGTATACATTCACATAAGTATGTATATAATGAATTTTTGTGATAATTTATATGCTAATAATAATATAAAACATGGTGACATTCATGATGATCAATTATATGGAATATTATACTGTCAGTAATTGAAGTAAAATAAATAAAATATTATTGTAACAAAATCAATTAATTATAAAAATAGATCTAATAATATTTTGTTATTGTATTATAAAAAATGTTCTAGTCAATTTATACCAAAAAATCTCGAATGTACTTAATAATTTATTGTCTTGTTAGATTTAGGTACAAATTATTTAAGAGTAAAATTAAATTTAGTAAAAGATCTTTGTAAATATTCTTTCGCATTTCAAAAAATTTGTCAGGTAATATAAATGGTAAATCTTCTTAAAAAAATAATTAAATTTTAGTTTTTCTTCCTTTAATGTTGGCGAAATAAATTGTTATAAATTAGTGTAGTTGATTATAAAAGGAATTTAAAAAAAAATCTGCTTTTTATTTTTTATACAGGGTATTTCAAAAAACATGCACCGTCTCTCGTGAGGGGATTTCTTGAGGAATCTCCCCATGATAGATGGCACATGCTTTTTGAAACACCCTGAAAAATGCTTGCCCACATCAAAAAATATGGAAGAAAAGTTTCTGTAAACATGGGTTCAAAAAAACCTAGTTTTAAATATACCCCTGTATAGGGATATAGAAAGGTAAAAAATAATATACAGTATGTAACATTTTAAATAATTTATTTAGTCTTTCGTTTTCTTCTTGTTGGTGAATTTTTAGTTTCGCCATCAGAATCGTTTGGTGGTACCTTCTTGTTCCATTCCTTCTTCAACTCGTTTAACATAGTGGGTGTTAAAATTCCCTGGGCCAGAAGCCTTTCCGTCAATCTTCCTCTACCAATAGGCGATGACTGCGAATCTGTAATAAAAAACCTTCAATATACAGAGTGTCTAAAAAATGTATTTTCACTTACTTCTTAGATAAGTCTGTTTCTTTGTATGGCTGTCAAATTCTTCGTCATCGGCTTGAGAAGTGCCGGAACTGACACCTGTCTCTGAATTTCTTAATAATCTAGTTAATTGTATGACACCCTGTTGTATTATTTGATCTAATTCTTTTTGCATGTCTCTAATCAAGTTGGCCTCGTTGAATAAGTCAGAAAATCGGTAACTAGAGGTGAAAAAAAATTATTTTGAATATTATAATGGTATGCAACCAACAATACACCCAGTCCTAATGATTTTTCGTTAGGATTCGCTGTATTGGTGGTTGCATACATCAGGAAACAGTTTACGTATTTATTCCATACTAATAAAGACATTTGGCATGTAAATATCGACGAATTAGTTAATGACATGGGTGTATTTATATATAGAAAGAGCCAAAAAAATCGAAACAATAAAAAAAATTGTACAGGGTGGCGCCTCTCATACGCCGCGGAGGCTCCAAGGAGAACGACAGTTTGTATTGAAATGAAATTTTGTAAGCATATGTAGGTTAATTCAGAGCAGTTTTTAAAAATATAGAGAGTTCTACAGGGTGTCCCCCAAAAAAATTACATATCAAAGTTGTGTTTTTTGTAATGGAACACCCTATATATTAATTGATTTTCGGATTCTGGGAGAAAAATAAAGCTGAGTTTTATAAGAGAAGTATATGACCAAAATGTAAGGTTTTTGACATATTTAACATTTTCTAGAAATAAAGAACAATTTTTAAATTACAATAAAAGCTACCGAAATTGGAATTTACCCGGTATAACCTTTATATGTAGTTAAATTAACTATTGTACTTTGAATCAAATTAAAACTTGATCCAAAAAGTTATACAGGGTGAAACAAAATTAATATTGAACATTGGTCACCTTTAAAAGCATGTTACTCTCTTTTTTTTATTTTAAATGGAACACCCAGTATATTATTCCGATATTTAATGGAGAATTCGTGTCTCTTCAAAATACTATTAAGGTTGCCTACCCCTCAAACAAAGATTTTCCTAGATATTTTCATTTACATGATTTGATCTGAGTAGATCTTTATTATTTGATAAAATCTAGGTGGCTGTGATATGGTTTGACGTTACTTCAACATAGCTGTCTAACTAGTCCAACTTTAACAACTAGTTATAATTTTTTGTCAATTAAAACAAAAAAAATTCTCAGGAATTTGCCAAAAATGCAAACTTATCCTACATCGGAGAAAATTGATATGATTCTATTAGTTGAATGCAGTGTGCATTCACCAATTAATAGAATAACCTTAGAATGCTCTTGATTTTATCTACTCTGTTTTTTTTATGGGGATATGTTAAAGACAGTGTTTAACAAACTCGTGTCAACAACATAAGATAAATTATTGTAGCTGCTTTTCGAGGGAGAACTCCACATATGCCTTTTAAAATGAAAAGATACTTTTGAAAAGACAATCATTTTATGCAGTTAACAGAAAAGGAAGCATTTTGGGCATTTGATTTCATCTAGCTAATTTTTTTGTCGCATAATTATAGGTTTATAAACCATAAAAAATTACAAAATTAAAATAAAAAAATTACAGAATTAAAACTAAAATATATTTAGTTTTAATTCTGTAATAATTAAAATATGTTTTAAACGTATATTTTTTTATTACCCTTGAGTATTTTACTGCACAATCTTTAATTTTTGTTAAATTAACAATATTAGGTATATCACACAGCCACCTAGATTTTTTCAAATAATAAAGATTTACTGACGCAAAATCATAAAAATTAAAATATCTAGGGAAATCTTTGTCTGGGGGGTAGGCAACCTTAATAATACTTTAAAGATATATAAATTCTCCATTGAACACCGGAATACTATACTGGGTGTTCCATTTAAAATAAAGGAGTAACTTGCTTTTAAAAGTGAGCAATGTTCCATATTAATTTTGTCCCACCCTGTATAACTTTTCGGGTCAAATTTCAATTTGATTTAACATACAATGGTTACAGTAAATTAAATATCAGGCTATACAAGGTCAACTAAAATTTAGGTAGCTGTTATCGAAATTTAAAATTTTCTCTTCATTTTCACAAAATGTGAAATATGTCAAAATCCTTAGATTTTAGATATATGCTTCTTTAATAAAACTCACCTTTATTTTTTTTCTAGAATCCGAAAATCAATTAATATATAGGGTGTTCCGTTAGAAAAAACACAACTTCGATGTGTAACTTTTTTTGGGGACACCCTGTATAATTCTATATAATTTAAAAAAATGCTTTCAGTTAACCTACATATGCTGCCAAAATTTCATTTTCATATGAACCGTTATCAAACCGTTCTCCTTGGAGCTTCCGCGACGTATGAGAGGCGCCACCCTGTATATAGATTTATCAAAGTTTGCATATTTACTTTTGAAGCCTTACCTGAGCCATAGATATAGGTCAAGAACGTCAAACACAGCTTCTAAGTGAACTAGATCTATGATAGTTTTGGGAGGTTGTAACGGCCAGCCAATGTTTCTACACAGCCAATCAAATGTAATTGCCTCGTTTTTACTGTACTGTCTGGCAAACTATCATATAAATAGAAAACAAATTGTTTGTATTAAATTTCAAGTAATATAATTAAAAATAAATATATTTGTAGATACCTTAAGAAACATTGTACAGACAAAAGGCATTTTCTTGTTAATCGGGGAACAACAAAAAACGTATCTCACTCTCAGTGACAGAGGAACATGTTGGATCATGTCAGCAAGGAACTTAAAATCTTCAATGTTACACATGAAGTACAAAGAATCATCTACAGTTGACAAACTGACAAATATATCCTAAAAGTTAAAAAAAAATGTTTGGACGAAAAAAGCTTTTTTTTGGGGGAATTTACCATTAAGTTACTCAGTGCAGAGTTAGGTAGATGATAGGCGTAGAGTTCTATTTGGTCTGCAGTTGGATGTAGACCAGCCTGCGTGATTTGCTCAGGTTGTGAGCTTAGAAGAGTTTTTAGTGTTTGTAGATCTTCAGGTTTAAATGTAGTGACAAAACCTTGTTCCCATTTAGTCCCATACCTGTTTATTTATAATTATATACCGGGCACCTCTATAATTTTTTTTTCTAGCAAAAAATGGCATTCTGAATAGAATGACATGATATGTCTACTTTTGACATTTCTTCTTAAAAATAGTATTTTAAATTTCAGTCTAGAGTGTCGTGGCTGTGTTAAAACCACCGATTTTTAGGTTTGATAGTCTAATGTTTTTAGTGTCTAGTTCTGGCCAGTTAAAAAATGTTCAATTTTTTCAAATGAAACAAGGGTGGCTCATTAGCATTTTTGAAAAAAAAAAATATTTTTTAATGAATAATTTGTTACCAAATACTTGGTATTTTGAGTCAAATTGTCTGAATGAACACAGCCATTGCACCCTAGATTGAAATTTAAAATACTATTTTTTTATAGTAGTATATGTCAAAATTTGACATATGTCATGTCATTCTATTTAGAATATCATTTTTTATGAAATAAAGTAAAAAAAATACCGAGGGTAACATTTAAAAATCAAAAGTTATAGTAATTATTATTATTATTATTACACAAAGTTGTAGGAGTGAGCTACCATTGAAAAACACCCGGTATATTAAGAAAAATAAATAAAGTGAACAAAAAATATACAGTACGTACCTGCCTGCCCTTCCAGCAATCTGCAATGCTGACGAAACGGAAATTGTATCCATCTCTTTCTCACCCTTTTCATTCATTATTGGTTTTATCAGAGAATAAAATATAATCCTTCTTATACTCCTAAAATATGTCTTAAATTACTCTACCTTACTTTAACAACAACATATATTAAAAATAATCAAATTTTGTCCCTTTTAAAAAACGATACATTTGAACTACTAATGATTTTTTCTTTGACAATTATAGACCCCCTAAGCCTGACGTCACAACAGTAGGCAGAGCTTCAAAAACCTTTCCGAACAATGTCCTAGGCTTATTGAATCAATCAATGAGTAATTGCTTAAGGCTTAAGCAATTATTCAATTGACTTCGTTTTAGTCACAATAACAATCATACATTTTTATTCTATGATATCTAGATCTTTCATAAAACTACTAGATAATTTTTAAAATAAACTTGCCTTTATAAAATTATAGGACAACCTCAGAACTCTTTATTTGCTTTCACAGAAAATTTAAGGAATAAAATCGCAAAATTACTTATAGTATCGTCTTTTTTTGACCTGTATTTACTGCTTTATTTCGAAATGTTTTAAGCTCCGCCCCTTAACATGACGTCACGGCTTAAGCTGTCATTATTAAATGCCAAAGGAAATAAAAACAAACTCACAAATTTAAACCCATTCCTATGGCATCTGTGGCTACTAATATTTTACAGCTATTATCAGGATCGTTAAATTTGGCAGCTTGAGCTAGTTTAGTACCTAAAAAAATTGTTTAAAAATTATTTTCTAGTAATATAAATGCAAAAAATGCTGACCTGGAGGTAAACTTCCATAAATAACAGCTACTTCCTTCCCACTAGCTTCTATGGCCCTTGACACTGAATAAATATCGTTTTTACTAAAACAAACTATACAATCGCCGGGTTGGACTTTTTCTAAACTACCTGTAATAAAAAAAAACATATTTCAAACATCACAAATTAGAGGGTGTGTCTTAAATAAGTACAATTTGTAAAAATTTCACATTTTTCTTGATAATTTTCTGTAAAATTTAAAACTTTTTAGTACCGCAGGTTTATTCACCTAAACGATGTATCAAAGCCTTACGATGTTGCCACTTCCTTTCTATTTTACGAACATTCTGTATATTTGTCGGGTTATATAAATTAACAGTAATTTAAATTTTCTATATACACTTACATCTTAGGATAATTAATTTTAATTATATCAATTAAATTACTGATAAGTCTAGAAAAACACACTGTGCATATTTTTTAACACACACTAATACATTTTTACAGTATTTTCAACTAATCTGAAAGAATAAAAATTAAGAATTACCTACTGCAGATTCTCTTATCGCCATATCATTAAATATTTACAATTAAATATATACTTTCTTGTACATGTGGCAACACAGGACGTCAAATAAGCTGAGATCCAGCTGATTTCCGGCAGTTCTCAAAATGTTTATACATTTTTAAACTTAAATAAATATTTAATTATTAATTGTATTCATTTTATTTAATAAATAGCAAATAAAAAAATCAAGAAAACTCTGTATAATAATTAAGGACTTCCTTACCTAAAGCACTACTTTCTATCTTTAAATCAGTCAACCTTTTGTAGTTTCTCACTTCTATGTCTTCCCCAGCCGTCAAACAAAGTTGCTGTATTAAATCCAAGGCACCTGCCTCTCCACACAAGTGTACTTCTTCAGCCATCAGTCCCAAAAGAGCTCTGGTCCAGGCCCAACCTCTCTGGGGATCCCTGATCATCTGGATTTCGTCTATGACAGCCACTTCATCTGAAAAAACTCTTTATTCCAGATAAACAAGTTTTTTATTAGTTTTTGGCATACTTATTACAAGGATTGTTGACTGAAGTCATTTCTACGGTACAGGCAACATGGGATGATGCTATTCCCGAGGGATCAGCGAATTTTCGTTCTTCTCCGGTAACTAGATCACAGGGAGTGCCCTAAAAATTTCAGTAGTTTCAAAAAAATCTTTTAAAAAAAATTGATATATTTACTCTGTCATTACACTTGTTATAAACCTCTGAAGCTAGAAGTTTCAGTGGGCCACAATACACTCCAGATTTAGCAGTAATATACCTTTCCAAAGCATGGTAAGTTTTTCCAGAATTTGTAGGACCAGCATGGAAAATTATTTTTCTATTTATAGCTCTGGCTTCAGGATACCAATTTGCTGGAGTTCTAGAAAAATGGGGAGAAATAACAAAAGTCGGCAACAATGCTGGGTCGATTTTTAAGACGCTAAAATCAGTGGCACTCAAAATTTTTGTAAATTATTTTTCTGAAAATGTCCCAAAAATATAAGTAGGTACCCAGTGATTGAATGAAAACAATTATCTGTAGTTTGAAGTAAAATTACCTCTATTTTTAAATATATAGTTTATATAGTAGATGTAACCATGATGTAACTAGTAAGAAAAAATAATCTAGATAAAAGAGATATTTAAAAAGATACACCTACCTTAAATCAGATATTTTCTTCAGATCATCCATACAGTCCAAATGAGGAAACATCCTTCTGGCATGTCCCAAAAAATACGGAAATATATCTGTAGGATTACCTGCGCCTTGCAATATATCGCTAACAACAATATGCAAGTCCACAGGCAATGTAGTAGCTTCTAAACAATATCTCCTAAAACTCACATAAGTCTGATGCTGTAAATAATCTAGAAAGAACACGGTACAATAAAAAAAACACAAAAATATCTCAAAATCTTACTGTCCAGTCCATTATCTATCAGCAATTCTTTGACTTCGGGATTCTGGTAAAACTTATTTAGAATTTTCAGCAAGTCTGCCTTATTTAAACTCCCAGTTAGTTCGGCACCTACGTTAATATCGTCAGGATTAGGTTTTATAGGCACTGGAACAAACAGGGACGAAAGCTTATCTTTAGCACTACCTCTTTTTGTTCGATGTTGATTGTAATATCCATACGAATGTTGAGATATTCTTTCTGTAAGGATCCTGGACTGGCTCAAATACAACCCATTTAATGCTGTAGTAATGCAACGTATTCTATGCGTGTTTTGTAACATTTTGGATAAATAATATTAAATAACATTCATTTTCGCTATTTTTTAAATTAAGAAACTAAAAAGTAAGGTACTGGCATTATTCTTCTTAAACTTTTTTCTAGCCCATCAAGAACTAACCTCGGACCAGATCCAAGATGAGGCCAAGACACATAAAATGAAAAGAAGAAGGCAGTATTATGGCCGATTTAGAGGACGTATAGTCCTGGCAGTTTAGGCCGTAAAATCAATCAAGAAAGAAGAAGAAGTCAGTGTCAATTTTTTGAGGTTATAATTCGCGGTTTAACGGTTCCTGTTTTCGAAGGCTGTTTATATGGTTTTTCCAAATATTTAAATCCCGAAAAATGTCTGAATTCACACTGAGTTATCGAGAAGTGACCCCCGATCAAGCCCTGTACGAAAAATGGATCGAAATAACATTACACACAGGTAGTAGTAGGTTTGCTTACACTTCATTTAAATGTACTCGTTTTAAAACCGTTTTCTGTCTCTAAGGGGGCACCCAGAGCACATTGCAGGACATAAAAATCACCGAACGAGCTAATGGGTACAGTTACTTAGATTCCACAAGACATTATACAAGAAATCGGTTTATATATTGGTAAGGTTATGTCATGATACGTTAAGATTATTAGTTTTAAGGTTTTTTTTTAATTTTTTAGGCGAATTAGCTCGGATACCTTGGAGCTAATTGAGCAGAGTTTAGATATAAACCTTACGGGAAACACTGTGAGGTACAGGTTTATGGATAGTCCGATAATTGATGGTATTTCAGTACAAGAAACTGAAGAAAACGTAATTATTTTGGTTCCTACAGTTTGTAGCGTGCATATGTTAAGATTTCCTCATCCTTCAAACTACCATAAGCAGGTAATAGTGATGGAATATTTATTTCTAGTTCTAGAAATTGTTTTTATGCATATTTTAGGATGATTTGTTGGGAAGTCATCCGAATTTAGCAGCTCCTTCGATATTTTCTAAAGCCAGCACCTTAGAGGCTAGAAATCCTAATAATTTCTATGTATTTAACAACCCAAGTACAGCAAGTAAGTTTTTTCCTTCTTTTTAATATTAATTTATTATTTATTTGCATTTTTTTTATAGTGGATCAGTTACCAAATCTAGCAAGTTCATTTTACGACACTGAAAATGGAGAGGCTATATTTATTCTATCTTATCCTTCTTTGGAATTGTTACTAATCAAACTAAATGGTCACGGTCAAACAATTTGTACTGAATTGAAAGGGGAATCACTGATGCCCAGATTTTTGTCAGGGTTAACAGAAAAATTTAGGTATTTATTTCGTTTTTGATTGATTTTCTGTAAAAGAAATGATAATTTTAATTTGTAGGGCAAAAAATAATGATGCTGGTCAAATTGTTAGCACACTAATTCAACTCATAGACTATGAAGTATATATTTTAACCCTGACAAGAGGTGGACATTTGAAATTTTGGTCAAGCAAAAATGGACAGTGTGTGGCAGTGATAGACATCTTAACAGAAACCGGAGACTTTGGGAGAGACCGCTTACAGCATGGTATGTAAAAATATCTGTTTTGTATGCAGTTTTAATGTGTTTTTTGTATTCCTTAAAGCTGTTCTTAAAAAAGCCTTGGACGCTCAAGAAAATGACTGTCCTTTGGCAATTTTCATGAGTTTCCCTAGTGGTTGTCAATTTCACATCTTAAAACCCATTGTGAGTGGTCAGCAAATCAGGATAAAACGTTTGAATACTTTGACATCATTAGAGGTAAGTATTTTTAATTTTTATATGTCATTCTAGGGACAAATTAGACTTTTTTTGAGCTTTTTTATTTTTTCAGAGTAATTTAATTGATTTTTCACTTCAATGTGATCGATTGTGGTCACTGTGGCGTACTTCTGAGGATGATTGTGTGATTCACACGGCTTCACTGAAGTCAGGGACATGGACACCAATAATTAGGGAAGTTGTGAATGATATTCAAGTAAGAAATTATGAATTTAGGCCTTTTCTGATAAAGTTTTATATGATTTCTTTATTATAACAGCAAAATAAAATTATAATCCTGTTTTTTTTGGGGTGTAAAATGTCTAAGATAGAAAAGTAGTTGAAATGTACTGCTCATAATCTTTATTTATAAAAGAAACCATCCGATTTTTATACAGCAAATCCTTTAAATAACTTTACTTATATTAAATTCTTATTTTTTATCGAAATTTTATATGATTTGCTTCATTAGAACACCAAAAAAAATTTAAAAAAAAATAAAGTTTGTTTTTTGGGTGTGAAAAGTCAAAAAAGAAAAGTAGGTCAAATGTACTGCTCCTAATTTTTGTCTATTTATGAACGAAACAACTGAATTTTTATACAGCTGGTCTTAAATATCGATTATATTAAATTGTTATTTAAGAAATTCATAACTTTTTCTTGAAATCTAACATGATGTTTGACATTAGAACACCAAAATAAAATAATAAACATTATTCTTAGGTGTAAATCATACAAGAGAGAAAAGTAGTTCAAATGTACCGGTACTAATTTTTCCTCTTGAAAGAAAATATTGAATTTTTATACAGCAAATCTTTTAAATAGCTTCAGTTATATTAAATTGTTACTTCTTACTTGTATTTTTTGAGTTTTTTTTAAACATTTTATATAATTTACTCATTATAACAACAAAATACAATTATAAACATTGTTTTGGGGTTTAAAACATTCAAGACATAAAAGTAGTTCAAATGTACCGCTTCTAATTTTTGTTTATTTATCAAAAAAATCGTTGAATTTTTGTTCAGAAAGTCTTTTATATAACTTGAATTGTATTAATTTCTTACTTTTTATTTTATATTTTCTCTGAAATTAATAAAAACTTATTTAATGCACTTGAGAGGAAAATTTAATAATAAAATATAGAAAATGAGTGCAGCAAAAAGTTTTATAAAGTATATTGAAAATGTCTAAGACAATATACTATGTGATTAAATAAAAATTACGAAAAATATACCAGTTGGTTAAAAAAAATTAAATGATTTCAGAATCCAGTGAACAGAGGTGAATGTGATCCAAGACAAGTGTACTTACAACACTTATTCCATCCAGGAAGATTCCCATTACACGTCATAAATAAATCTTTAGGAGTAAGCTGTACACTTTTATTTTTACACTATTTTTTTATTTATTTAATTTTTTATTACAGATTTACAAGAAATCCAGTTATATTACTTCAGAAATCAACCTGACTTCTGTAGCAGCCATGAAACAGGCAATTTCATTGGCCATAGAAAGCGATATACAGAGTTGTTTTTCCGATTCCGAGGTTATGGATCATGAATATCTAGAATATACTGAGTGGTAAGAACAATAAATCTCTTTTAATATAGAAAATATACTGGAAAAAATAATTTTTGTAGGTGCTGGCAGAAATTTTATTCGTGCTGTTTGCAGTACCATCAAACCAGTTTGAGACCTCTTGGTTTGATGGTTATACCTCAGAGTTCTGGAGCTGTCTTGTTGAAAAAGGCAACTTTTTCGTTTCTGAGACCTACTGAGCCTCTGGAACACATGATTTTGTGCAGTGATTACATGTATAAAGATCAGTTTATTAATTTTGCGCTTTTGGCTGAAGGTATACTCATTTTTGTGACATTATTGTATACTGTGTAACTTCATTTAACATATTTCAGAGTCAGACTTGATAGATGACGTTATGACACTATTTGAAGTATTAGTTTACTTGGATAAACAATTAAACAACAGATTTAAGACAGAATTTGAACAGAAACTCGCCATTAACCTATCACCAAACACTGTTATCACAAACTTATTAGAAAACCTCAAAATCGAAGTTGACGGAGAAGTAAGTACATTTTTTTTAAATACCCCAATGAAATAAGTATCTCTAGATAAAACGATGTTATATTTACTTATTTCTTTAATAGTTCCTTTAAAAAACATATTTTTCAGTATAACAATATATGTCAGCGTGTAACAGTGCTTCTGAATCAATGTTCAGACTTATACAGGGCAATACACAAAGTCCTGGAACTTTTGAGACAAGATAGTACCCCAGCAAATCCTGACAATGATGTCAATCCGAGCGCTTTGCATTTTTTCAGTAGCTCTTTGGGAGTGTCATTTGTGGCTGCTTCGTTAAGACAGCAATGTCAAAACAGGTATAAACACATTATTTTACTATAGTTTAATCTTTTTGAGGTTATGTCACAGAATTATTTGTTTTTTGGCATGTTCAAGATATCAGTTTAACTCTTAAAATATACCTTGTTTCTTTTTTACAGATTTGCCATTTGCAGAGATTTGTTAATAATTTGCAACATTCTTTTTGACACTAAACAGCTTCAACCAAACGTCTACGAAGCTATACACTCAGTGTGTAAACCGGAAATAATATATTTAACTCAGGCCAATTATGTTATGCTTTGGATGACAAAGCTACCAGCCCTCAACAATGTTCCTCAGTAAGTAAATATTGGTCATAGAGTAATATAGTTTGACATCAAGATTTGAATTACAGTCTTTTATATCATTTTTTTTAATTAAATGATTTAGAATATGTTTACATATCTACCGAAATTCTTTAGAAACATGCCTTCTATAAGGGAACTATTATTTTATATCTATTTTGTGTATTTTTTTTTATAGAGAAAACAGTATACAACGTTTGGCACCTATCAAACTTACCCCAGCTTACAATATCAAGCCAAACGGAGCTATATTCTCTCTTTTGGAGCTATTTTCCTCATCCACTGGAGGACACGAAGCAAGAAAAATGCTGGCGAAGATAGATTACAATGGTGAAAGCATGGCGCATTGGCATTTGAGTTTGTTGCCTTTTATCAGCTACCTCAGACAAATTTTGTATCCTTTATGGGTTTTATTTTAACAGAAATACTTGTAAAATAATGTTCTATTTCTCGAAAAAAGAATTTTTACAAAATTTAAACTTTCACTATCAAAAACAATTACTCTGAGGATAAAATATCTTTTTTGTCACTCTGAGTAGCCTTTATGCAAGTTTTTAACAAGTTTTATAGGTAATAATGGTTCAAATTCAGTTTTATTACTTTTAAAACTGAGTTTTATTTATTTAAAGTTGTATTTTATCGATTTATTGACGATACATTTGAACTACTTGTACTAAAACTTCGATTTTTTTGGATTTTTCTTAACAAAAACCTTTAGATGGCCTCTGAAAAACAGCACTATGCTTGCTGAGTGGTTAGTTAGCAGTGGTCAGCACGTCTGGCTTCAGCAATACGTGAAAATGCTGAGCAGTTGGTGCGATTGGAACATTTCAAGCTGTAAGAACTTTTTAAGCTTTTTATAAATAATTTTTTACTTTTTATGATTTTTAGGTAGTTTTTTGCTGGCTGTTTCATTTCTGATGAGTGCCGAAAATTATAAGGCTTTGGATTTGTTCCAAATAGCTGCAAAAGGGATTTTTACTGAGCCCTTTATGCAGGAAAGAATGTTGAAAGGTGACAAAGGACCACAAGCTTATATTAATTATTATTTAAAGGTATAAAATGAATTTTGCACTATTTTTTACTTACCCTGTATTAAGAATAATCAATATTCTAGGTAATACATTTATTTGAACTGCACAAAGCCAGGGATTGTGCCATACAAATGGCCAACACAGCTCTGAGCATTGTTGAAACTGACAATCCCTTACTGGCAACGCTGTATTCTATCAAATTTAAGCATCATCTAGCTTTAAAGCATTACGAGGAAGCATTCTATGCTCTTAAAAGCAATCCAGATCATGAAAGGAAGAAGGATAATTTGAGGGACTTAGTTAAAACATTGCTGGATGAGAAAAAGTTTGATGTTTTGCTCAGTTTTACCTATGGAGGTAAAAAAATTAATAAAATATTTTAAAATTTGTTAATTTTTGCCTGATTTTTTTTCAGATATGGATGAACTGTTTACAAGTATTCTACTAACTAGAGCTAGAGCTACAGATGCCACGAGCAATGTTTTCTATGACTTTTTGTACGCTTATCAGATAACTAGGGGTCCTTTATGTCATAGACTAGGTATATTTAGTCTAATATAACATTTTTATTTTTCTTCTTTCAATTCTTTTTTACTAAGCCACTTTTTCTGTATAAAACTTCTCAGATACATTATTTTTCCCGTATATTTTAGGTTGTGTATTTTCAAGCATTTCTGCATGTACTATATCAAAGTATATGCAGTGCTTTTTAAGGATTCCTTGTACTTTACTTTGTTTTTAATTTTTAATTTTAAGTTATTTTGAAAATGATTTTATAATCTTTTTTTCTTTCAATTTTTTTATTAAGGCATTATTTCTTTATAAAACTTCTGATATAGATTCAAGATATTTTCAAGCATTTCTGCAAGTACTGTATCAAAATTTATTCAGTGTATTTTAGGATTTTTTGTATTTTATTTGGTCTTTATATATTTTTTATATAGGTCTTTTATTCTTTTTAATAATTTTATTATGTATTTAATTGTAATCTTTCACTTTTTTAAATCTTTTAAAGCTTTATTTTATTGAAAATATTTTAATAGTTTTTCATATACATTCTCAAATAAATTATTTTTACTCTATGTACTTTACTTTGTGAATTTTCAAACATTTTTGGAATTTTTTTTTACTCTTATTTTGTATCTTTTTTTCTTTAGCTGCCTCTATAATGTACGAACAAGCATACAGACTGTCACAAACCAACACAACAGACGCTTTAGAAAAGCAAGTGAAATGTTACCTTGCAGCTAAAAACGTACTACAATTGGTTGATCCACAGGTACACTTCAAAAACTCTCAAAATTAAAAAATGAATAAAAAAATGTTTTTGATTTTAAGTACGCCTGGGTTATACGACCTTCAGACCCCGACGAAGATGAAGACGAAGTTATTCTAGAATCTCTAGCAGGATCGCAGAAAGACAACGAAGTTTTCAGAATAAAAAAACAAATCGAAGTGGTCGATATAGAAATCATAAAGAAGGAACTCATTTTCTCTTGTGCCAAGCTGAAACTAGCCAGATTCGATTCATCTATACCCTCAAACGTCAACAGTAAGTCATAAAATAATAGTTCCGATATTAAAAGTTACTGTTTTCCTTTTTATTTCAGCTCCAGTTGAGTTGGTAACACTGTTAAACAGTGCAGGGTTGTTTAAAACAGCTTTAGAAATTTGTACGACTTATAATCTCGGGTACGCCACTGTTTTTGAGTCGTTGACGTTGAAGTGTATCATGTTGAGTGAGGAGGAGAACCCAAACGCTTGGGATTGGTTGGTGGAGAATGATTTACAAGGTAAGAAAAGATAAGGAGTTTATTTGAACTACTTAGGGTTGTCTCAAGCATACCTTGAGAATATATTGTGATTTTTTATTCTAATTATTTTTTTAACATTTATTCGTTAACCCTTTATTTATTCATTATATGTTTATTCTTTGTTTGACATATATTTGTTTATTGTAACTTGATTAATGTGTGTTATTTATTTATTCCATAAAAATTGTTTAATTTTATTTTCTAGTTAATATCGTTAATATTTATTCTTTACACCTCTTAATTTATTATATATTTATTCCTTATTTAATAGATATGTTTTTTTCGTTATACCTTCATTAATTTTTTACTCATGTATTTATTCCAAAGAAATAGTCAAATTTATATTCTAGTTAACATTTATTCTTTACTTATTATTTACCCACTTTTTTATTCATTACTTATTCACTATATGTTTATTTATTACTTGCCTATTTATATAAAATAGCTCTAGAAACCTAAAAGGCTTCCCGATTTAATATATCTTTATTCGGTGCATTTTTATTCATTATACCTTCATTTATTCGTTATTTATTCATTATGCCTTCGTTTATTGTTTATCATTATATACATTATCTGCTGAGCTCCTTCTAACTATACTATTATTCATTATATTTGGGCTTCTTTATTATTCGTTATGTTATCATTGATTTTGTATTTATTCATTATACATTCATTTATTCTTTATAAATTCTTTATAAAATTTAAACTACTTGTCCTCACAATTAGTATAGAGTATTTTTTTGGAAATTTGACATAAAAAATGTATAAAACTGATGTTTTTGTCTAGCCAATTTTTTTCTAATTTGATTTCAGATCTTCCAGCAAACAGAGACAGTATTTCAGAAGTAGTTTGGCAACTATTACAAGACTATTTAGAGAAATATGAAGAACCCAACATGACCACCCTACACAAAATCGTCTGCAAGAAAATAATCAACATGAGGATGTACATACCGTTTTGGATGCTCAAGTCCTACAAAGTAACTAACTAAAGGTTTAACTGGTATTTTTATCTAAAAATAATCGTTTCTTTTTCAGGTTAGGAATCCTTCAGAGATACTCAGACTGCTCCACTGCTCAGGTCGATTAGAAGAAGCTTTCGAGGTTGCTCACGAGTACCTGTTGGCAGCACTGGGCTATGGAAAAGAACTATATGGATTCAAAGTACCTTTAGCCCCAAATTCTCCAGCTTTTTGTCTGCCAGTCTACGAAATACAGTGCTTCATCAAGGAGTTGCAGATGCAGAACGATAAGGACTTGCTAAGACCCTTTCAAAAGGTTTGTATAATAAATCCCAGTCTATGGTTATAAAGGTTAATGAAACTTGTTATCAATAAATATGATTTTTTTTTACAGGAACATACAATATTGAAGGAATTGTTTGAGAAGTATTTGGCAACAGCTACGCGGATATCCAACGAGAAATGTCAACTTCAAATGTCATCGTTTGGCTCCATTGGAAGTGTGGCAAACAGGAGCATATTTTAATTGTATTTTTTTTATTTAAATAAAGTATTTTTTTAAGAGCCATACTAGGTTAAGACTATTCGTTGTTTGTACATCTTTTTAAGCTTAATAAATTTTTATAAAAAATTAATTTTTTGTTTTTTAATTTTGAGTCTCGAAAAAAACGGCGTCAAAGACGGTTGGGAAATGACAAACGATGATAATTTTGGTGAGGTCAATCTCTGAACGTCATATACTAAAAATTGACATAAAATTTGTCAAAAATTAAAACTAATAATAAACTAAAAAATAAAATAAAAATCATTATCAATATAAAAATAAATTACAATATTCTTAAAGCCAATTGTCAGGAAGCGCCATTAAAAAATAAAGAGTGCCGGCCAAGTAATGACGTCTAGGAATTGACCCCGTAAAAATTATCATCGATTGTCATTTCCTAGCCCTCTTTGACGCCGTTTTTTTTTCGATCGTATAGTACTTTTAAGTGCTGCCAAAAATTGATAAATTTTTATTCTCTTTGAAATATTGATTTCTTAGAAAAAAAGTCAGATCGTATTTATAAAATCCGTGTTTATTTTGCTCTACTTTTGCTAAAAATAAATTAAAAAAAGGACTCCTTGCTGTGCTCTTTATGCTCTGTTTTATAGTCATTTTTTTCGTGTAAAACTCTGTAATTTTCTGTAATAAAACCCACATTTTCAACGCACATAAAACTAGAAGAAAAACATCAGTCAAGAATCTTTACGACCATCGGCACCCTTTTGTTCTAAAAACTCCAAAACTGAAGCACAATAGTACCGAATAGTACCGAAAAAACTTATTCGCAATAAAAGTCAATTTTATAGCCCCGGATTTCGGTACTTTACGATTGTTTTTGCCCCGAACAACAGGTGATTTGGGGTAGGTGTCACGCTGTGTTACAGGCGCCAGCGATGACGGTTCTTATTTTTGTTACTTTTTTGTAAAGTAAAAAGACGCCAAATATGTACTACAATTTTTCTAATGATAGAATCTAAGACTTTTTTGAGAAGTACCGTCATAATGACTTTTATAGTATAGAAAAAAGATCAGGCGCACAAATATACTCTCAAGATACTATATATTTTTACTCCAAGTAAAGCTTGATTTTCATGCATCCGTTGTCCGACGATACGATGATACGATATTAATTTTATTGGTTGAATTTTAAATTCAACCAATAAAATTAATATCGTCTCATCAATCGCCTTCGATTGGTTAACCGTTTCTAACCTATCGTCGGACAACGGATGCATGAAAATCAAGCTTAAAGCTCATCCGTCTACACGTAACATTTTAACTGTCAGTCTTACTGTTCAGTTTTCTTGACGGTCTTCCGTTTTGCCTGACACGTAAAACTGACAAGTAAAACATTTTAGGTGTAGACATGGCTTTAGAAATTATAATAATTTTATTATCTGTACTAAGGAAGTGTCAGGGACTATTTCCTGCCTTATATAAAAATGATTGTTCTATTTGAGAAAGCTTTTAAGACAGGTACCTAGATTTATACCCTTATACTTTCTAAAAAAATGTATTTCCGCAACATCTCTAGCTACTTCCTTTAGAGATAAAAGAAATATTTACAATATAAGTACTGTGAAAATTTTGGCAATAAATAAAATAATTTTTATCTTTCTCATTGATTTCGTATCTACTTTAAAGTTTTATAAAATAATTATTGATAGTTTTATTTATTTGTTATATTATGGCGTCTAAAAGTTATTATACAGGATGGTCCGAACTGTATTCCATAACTTTGACATATTCTGCAGATAAAAATAAGTAAAAAAGTTCGTATTAATATATGTCCTAAAATGCTTAGTTTCGGAGATACAGGGTGTAGAATTTTCATTTTTATTTTGATTCTTTCCAAATATTTTATGAAGCAACGTCAATATTTGAATGAAAATTGGTATCTGGGAGTTTTTTGACATGAGAAATTTGATTTTGATGTCAATATGACTCCTACTTGTAGAGGAAGCCACTTACATATTTTTTAACTGGTTTGAAGAGTAATAACTTTTCGTCTGCACCTGTATAAAACTACTGAGTAAACAAATATACATTTACGACGTTTTTTACGTAAAAAAGGTCTCTTGGTAAAAATCGCTACGAGTAATGGTTCTCGAGATATTTGAAATCGAAATTATCAATACCTCACTGTTCGGTTTTTATATGATTCAAAATAAAAAATATATAAATTGTAAAATTAGTAATTTTTTAATGGCCATAGATCCAGTGACGTACCGTGACTTTGAATTTTGAGACCAAAAACTGATACAATAATTTGTCATTTGTTTTATTTTGCATAAAAATGTTAACTAATAAGTTAGAATAATTATAACTATTCCCTAACTAAGTGGTTTTATCGCTAAATTTAACTAAAGCTAAGTACAACACAAATCTTAAATACATGGACTATTATAACAACAAATACATCGTAAAAGACTATTTTGTAGTATTCTGAACTAGAATTCAAGTTCAGAAAATCACATTTTAAAAAATAATTTATAGGAAAAATGTTAATTCAGTTAATATTAATTTTTGTATACTGCTTAGATTTATCTGGTCTTCTATCATAGATTTTGGAAATTAAAGAATTACCTGAAGATTTTCATCTAAAAATTGGCATTGATAGTGGTCGTGGATCACTTAAAGTTTGTCTGAATGTGCTCCCTGAAAATGATCCCGAATATTTCAAGAAATATAAAAGTGCTGGAATTAATAAACTATTCATAATTAGGACCAAAGTTTTCTGAATCTTATGCTAACATTAAAAGCCTCTTTGAGACGTTAGATCTGCAGTCCATATGTCGAATTTGTTCCTATACTTTTGCCGCTGACTTTAAGCTTATTATGATTCTCCTTGGTCTTCAGTCAAATTCATCCACTCACACTTGCCCATGGTGTGATGTAAATGTATAAAGGAAATGGAAATTAAAGGATCATTCAGAACTATCAAAAGTATTACAGAAAATACAAATTTATGGCAACAATCTAGAGGAAATATAACAAAAGCCAAAGATTTTAGTAAGAGTTTTTGTTTGAAATATTTTTTTTGTATTTTTTAAACTGTTGTTCAATGAACCATATAAAAAAAGGCAATTATTTTTTAGAAAACTGTATAAACATACCTTTAATCATTGGCGACGAAGAAACACCTGTCTTAAAGTTATATTCCTCCTCCTGAGCTTCATCTTTTATTAGGTGTGGTTCAAAAACAATTTGATTGTCTTGAATTGGAGGATACCAATGTTGCAACGGAATGGATAAAAAAAGTGGGATTGAAACTAGATCATTATGTGAAATGTAACGGAAATAACGCTAGACAACTTTTAAAGAAAGTGGATATTTTGAAGACGATATCACCCAGTAAAGAATCCTATTCAAAGTTTTTAGAAGCAAAAACTTAAACATCTTTTTTTAGGAATAAATATATTGCAGTGTTTTCTGCATTCAATCAAGTAGTTTCGAGTTGTTTTGTTCAAGCACTAAACAAACATTTTGAACATGACATCGAACAATTTAGATTGGAAATACTCAACTTAGGTATTAAGATAACTCCAAAGATTCATGCAATTCTGCATCATGTGCCAGAGTTTATAAAAGCAAATCATAGAGCTCTAGGATTTTACTCAGAACAAGCATCAGCGAGTAGGTTCATTTTTCCTTTAAATTTTTTTCTAAAAAGTTTAACTTGAATCCTCGTTCAGAATGCTACAAATATAGTCTTTTACGATGTATTTGTTGTTATAATAGTCCACGTATTTAAGATTTGTGTTGTACTTAGCTTTAGATAAATTTAGCGATAAAACCACTTAGTTAGGGAATAGTTATAATTATTCTAACTTATTAGTTAACATTTTTATGAAAAATAAAATATATAGCTGTAATAGGATTTTTTGACAAATTATTTGTCAGTTTTTGGTCTCAAAATTCAAAGTCACGGTACGTCACTGGATCTATGGAAATGATTTAGTTGTTCGATGATTTTGAAAGAACGCATTATGGCCATTAAAAAATTACTAATTTTACCATTTATATATTTTTTATTTTGAATCATATAAAAACCGAACAGTGACCTACCTATCATCTTTGACATAAATTATAATTTATGTCAATAATTATTGACATAAACATGACTAAATAGTTATTAGACTGAAATCATCAATTTGAAATGTGTTTGTGCCAAAATTTCTAGAGAAACTGTTTTATCATCATTCTTTTGCAGAAAAACTTATGATTAATTAAAAAAAATGAGAATTTCCCCAATTTTTTGTTTCAGTCAAATAACTATCTACTCAATGTATTTATTTTTTGTCAATTATGACATGTATTAACTATTTCCATTGTAAATATCTTGAGAACGGTGGCTCGTAGCGATATTTACCAAGAGATATTTTTTATGTAGAAAGTCACGAAAATGTATATTTTTTCATTTAGTAGTTTTAAACAGGTACGGACGAAAAGTTATTACTTTTCAAATCAGTTAAAACACATATGTAGGTGACGCCCCCTACAAATAGGAGTCATATTGACATCAAAATCAAATATCTCATGTCAAAAAACTCCCAGATACAAATTTTCATCCAAATATTGACGTTACTTCATAACTTAAATTAGGTATTTTTGGAAAAAATCGAAATAAAAATGAACCTTCTACACCCTGTATCTCTGAAACTAAACATTTTAGGACATATATTTAGACGAACTTTTGTTGTTCGGACCACCCTATATACCAATAAAAAAAATAAAATAAATGCCTTGTTTTACTAATTCAAATAATTTGAGTTCAGAAATACGGTGTTTGAATAACAACACAAAACCTTACTTTGTGCAAAGGATTAGAAAAATAATCGTTCCACTTGAAACAATTGTTCCCGGGTCATTTCCGGTAGGACCGACGGTCACAAAGGGCCAAGGTACGACCGCTAAGGGTGGGTACGTCGAGTACTGTCGCCTCCAAAGTGTTAAAAATCAGCGTGTGGCAGGCTTGGTGGGCGCCCGCCAGGCCGGACCCTATGCCGTTTGCGAAAGCGATCCCATGGACCTGTCGCCATGGATGTCACCGCGTCAAATGGGACACAAAACACTTGCTTGTACAGA